AAAATAAATGTCGGTTCTGAACTAGGGTGTCAAATGAACTTTATCGTTATGGACAAAGTAATTCGAAGACGTCAAGTTCTTTCACTCTATAGAAACATTCTCAAGGAATCGTCGAAATTTTTTGATGATAATGCAAAGTATGCGTTGTTGACATAAAGTGGATTTTTTTTTAATTTTCTACAAATCATTAATGATTCGTTAGAATATTCTTAAAAAATCGAACACGCAAGAGATTTAAAGAATATAAGAACGAAGCTGACGAAACTAGGATTTTAAATAAATTGGCTGATGCTCGCCAGGTGGAATATTTTTTTTACTAAATGTCTTAAGTGGAAGTTTTATATACGTCGATTAAATGCGGCTCTATCTTGAAATTTTTATTAATTGTTAGGCGCTAAACAGGCTGAAGAGAGCTAATGTATTTGATATCAAGTCTGTTACTCGCGTTTTGGAGTTGACATATGGAAGGAGGGGACCTATGAGACATCAATTGCTTAAGGTTTGAGATTTATATTTGATGCGATATTATTGGAAGACTTTATTATTTAACATCAACAACGTCCCAATCATTTCCCGAAACAAACATTTCCCTAACAACCATTTTCCCAACAATCACTTACCCGAAACAAATATTTTTCTGGCTTGGGAAACGAAAATATTGTGGGAGTTATTATAGATGAAATAATTGTGTCTGGAAAGTGATTGTCGGAAAACGGTTGTCAGAAAATGGTTATCGAAAGTGTTTGTCGGAGAAATGATTGGGCCTCATCAACAATAGCCCATTATAAATGAACCGAGCGAGGCCCCCAAGCCCATTGTTCGGGGATTTCCAAGAACTGCCCCACCACGAATGTCGCCATCACTTCAAACATTATTGTCATCACAAACGAAAAATCTATATCCTACGCTACCAGTACCAAAACATAAACCTTTATACCCATCACGAAAAGCAAACCTATTGTGGAGACATTATTCTAAGATCATGAAAACTGTTATGCCACCTGTGGACGATGTCACATTAGATCAATTAGAAAAAAATGCCGGCAAAGGTACTTTGACAGGACAAGGTGTTGCAAATAGACATATATCATCAAGAAATCATAATAATGATGAGCCAAACAGATTGAGAATTCATAGAGATACAGGAGCGCCAAAATGTCCGCGTGATCCTATGAAAGAAGGACCATATCGTTCTGCCAGACCTCATAATCCGAGGCCTCGCTTTATACGGCGATTATATCAGAGGCTTTTAACCAAGATAACTATCATGAAAGAAAGTACCGAATCAACGCATTTATCAAATTCTGTTCCTGATACCTCCGAAAATAAAAACCCACCTACCATTATGTTACCAAAAAAACGAAAAAAACAGTATATAATTACTAAATCTCCTTGGGCAGATGGGCGTCCTCTTCCGCTGGTAAACCATACGGATTGGCAAGGATTGGACCCTGTTGAGGTAGCAAAACTTATTGATGATAAAAATGCTCAAAGATTAAAAAAAAGTTATGCTAATGATAATTTGCCTGTTTGATATATATATCTTGCATAAATTTTCATGTAATTTAACATACGATATACATTGAAGTCTTACAAGTTTGTTTTTAACTGCTGCTTAGGCAAGCATTAATTCATTCATAATACCTAAGAGTATTTACTTTAAAATCTGAATCTTATAATTAATACAAATTGCATTATTAGAAACTTGAATGTATCTTGACTTTATTTATAACTTAAACCCAGTGATGTCAAATGACAAAGTCATAAAAATGATCATAAATGACATGTTATTTTAAAATAACAATGTTATTGGATCAAATCTAGTATAGGATACCCTTTTAAAAATTATTAAATTTACTAATTTTATATAATTATTTTTATTATCTATATTATAATTAGTATTTTAATTAATATTAAAAGCTATTTAAAAATTATATTATAATATATAATAATTAATTTAAAGATTTTTAAAGATTTTATTAAGGGTAAGCTATATTATATTTGATCCATATTATTATTATAAAAAAATTTTATATAAAACTATAGCAAAATGATAAGTTATAAAAATATATATATATATTTTTTTAATTTTACAACTAGCCTCTTTAAGCTAAGGTTTTTATTCAAGTATTTAGATGGGAAGACTCATAAGGGATTTTCCTATTACATTAGAGAATACATCTAGTTATATATATACTTTGGTGTCTAATTTAAATAGTTTGCCTATTATTATAGGTTCTATACTGTGTGTTATATCCATAATCCAACTATAGGTGTTATCTATTTAAACTTTTTATAATGCTACCCACTTGTATTATTAGTATATCTTTATTATATTTGTTAGTTAAGAAGTTTCAGATGTTTTTCTTATTCTCTTAAAGCAGAGATGTACATTTTGACTGTTTAAAGGCTTTTTTGATACTATCTAACATTCAAATATCCAAGTATCCAAAAGTGTTTAGAGTATACTTAAGTTTTAATAATTAATAAATTTGTTTACAATATATATAACTATATATTTTTTTAGATACTGAACATATTTTACTTAGAAAGTAATATAGATTATCTTAATAAAATTTTGAGTAATTTTAATTTATTTAATTGTTCAAAATTGTCCAAAGTGGCCAAACTTACTGTTTACAACTGTCCTATAACAATACTGTCTTAGAGTATTTTATCCTCAAGACATTATTGCTAAAGCTTTTTATACTCACAATTTGATTAATCTAGATTCGGTAACTTATATTAAGTCTAAGGACAAGCACTTGCAAGCCAAAGACATTATTATTATTTATTTCTGCCTTTGTAAAGTTCATCTAAACTTCAGTATCTACGATATAAACTATTAACCTTTTTTTAGTTTTTCTAAACTCTTAATTCAGATGGCCTAACAGGATGAATCTTTTTTACCAATTAATTTGACGGTCTAGTTGATAGAGTGTTTTGCTGTATACTTCAGTTCCGCTTGGTTATTTTAGTCTTCCGAATAGTAATTTTTTATATAGTATTGTCGAAGATTTGTGCTATCTCTCTACTTGGATCTTGCCAAGTGGATTTCTGTATTCTTTAATCCGTTGGTTTTATACAGCTGTTTCACTCAGATTTTATACAACTTATATGTCATACTATAGTTCTATAACCTCTCAGAATTAGCTAATATGATCATGTTACAAGTGCAAATCTAATAGGATACAATCTACTTTTTTTTTTTTTTCTTTCTACTTAGGCTATCTTGCCTTTAGTCTCCTTTATTACTTTACGATTGTATGGTATTACAAAAGGCTTTAGTATAATATTTAGAAGTGGCATCCTGCAGTTACTTCAAAAGCACTTACAAGTGATCGGCCGCACTGAGCAGATATATCTCTATGAATATATCGCAATAAGTTTCAAAATAGAAACACTATCTCTCTCAGACGAACACTATCAGACCACTGCCCTAC